ACGGGCGGACGGCGCTGTTATGGGCCGTAGAAAAGGGGGACTTGGTAATGGTGGGAGAACTGCTTAAAAGAGAGGATGTTAATGTGAACATCAGGGATAACAACGGGCGGACAGCGCTGTCGCGGGCTGCGGGAAAAGGGAATGTGGAGGTAGTGCGACAACTGCTGGGCAAAGAAGGTGTTAATCTGGACATCACGGACAACAACGGACGGACGGCGCTGTCATGGGCTGCGCAGAAAGGGAATGTGGAGGTAGTGCGACAGTTGCTGGGCAAAGAGAGTGTTACTCTGAACATCAGGGACAACGAAGGGCGGACGGTGCTGTTACGGGCCATAGAAAAGGGGCACCAGGCAATGGTGGAAGAACTGCTCAAGAGAGATGATGTTGATGTGAACATCAGGGGTAACAACGGACAGACAGCGCTGTCGTTGGTTGCGGAGAAGGGGGATGTGGAGGTATTGCAACAACTGCTAGACAAGAAGGACATTGGGCTTAACACCAAGGACGAGAACGGGCGGACGGCGCTGTCGTTGGCTGCCGAGAAGGGAAATGTAGAGGTGGTGAGAAGGTTGTTGGCAAAGGGCGGTATTGATGTGAACTCTAAGGACAGCAGCGGCCGGACAGCGCTGTCATGGGCTGCAGAGAAAGGGCAGGCGGTTGTTGTGGAGCTCATGCTTCGGAACGATCGTATAGAGCCGGACTCTATCGACGACAGCAACCAGACGCCACTCTGGCGAGCCCTAACGAATGGGCATGAGACGATGGTGAATCTGCTTGCCAACAGAGACAGAGCCAGCTTGCTGATTGCAATTCGTAACGAGGAACGCCAATTCATCGAGTTATTACTCAAAGCATCAGTGGGCATAAAGGGTATCGAAGCGAAGAGTTGGCGCGGCGTATACGGCCCATTACCGCAAGATATTGTGGTGCTCTCGGAAGAAGAGGGGCAACGCAAATCTGTGCGGCGTCTTACAGCAGCAAACGTTAGAGGCGAAATAGCGCGCGTCTCTGCTGGAACCAGGGCGGAAAGATCTCTCTTGTACGTCATTTCGTCTCTCTTATTTCATGGAGAGGCTCAACCAACTAACTTTTTCCAGTCTATTTTCGGAGTTCTCTCCATGGCAAGATGAATCGATTCCCGGTTGGAGTTCCAACCGCACCAATCTGGACTGCCAAATGAGCTTCTCCAAGCAGAATGATGAGCTTGGAATATGCTTCTGTGTTGCTGCCCGGTTTCCCAACAGGCAGGAACCCTGTGCAATAGCATGGACGGTGATTCAACCAACCAACCGGAGCGACGGACCGTGGAAGTCAAGGAACCACTTCAGCATGCTGCCAAATGGTTGGATTCCAGACGATGGTGTCGACTTCTTCAAACAGTTCATCTGCCACTTGAGAGAGAGGTGGTACACGGAATGCGACTTGGTCGAAAAGGATCTAACAACACGGGTGAGTAACATCCACTCTTGCTGTCAGTCAATCAACATGATTTCAACATATGGACTTTTCATACGTTTAATCAGCTGATTGAATGGACTGCACAACACAGCGCAATAGCCAGTTTGACGCACAGGGGAGAAGCCCCGAACTTATACGTCAACTGGCAAAAGATGCTCAGATGTTGGCACATCATCATACCGTCTTACAATTCCAAATCACCAAAGCCAAAGAGATTGCAAAAGAAGTCCAGAGCTACCATCAAATCTCCGCCCAGGATGAACTGCAGAATGCGGTAGTTGACTTCGCAGACAAGGTCAATGATCGGATAAAACAACTGGACCAGACACTCAGGGACATCTTGCAGTTTGTAAGTCCTATAATTAACTGACTTTACTTTTAGTAAGCTCTTCAGTGCTGATTCTGTGCAGGAATTTGCATGGGTCTCAATCAATGAAGCGCATAGATCCACAAGCGTTGCGACAAGCATGAAGCGTCTCAGTTGGATTACTGTAAGAATCTGCTCCTTAACTTATTACATGCCTGACTGGTACTGAAGCGACCAGTTCATCTTCCTACCGGCAATGTTTGCTTCGGTAAGCCTTCGCCATATTCCAGTAACGATGTCATTAAGCTATTATATGTATTTGCCCACTCAGCTAACAGAACAACCCCCTACAGAGTCTCTTCGGTATGAACGTCGATTTGCTGAAGGACAACCCCGACTGGCGTTGGTACGTCCTACTTGGAGGAACCTTATTGGTGATCACCTTTGGTGCATGGCTAGTCTTCAAATTCAATCCTGTTCGTGGCATTTCCCTAAGTGCGGCACTCCGAGGCCATTTACTGACGGAAGCTACAGAATATCGAACTATGGTTTGAGGGCGAAGTAGAAAGACTCATGGGTCGGAAAGCAAACCCAGGAGACACCGAACGAGGCTGACCAAGGTAGGAGTGCGGTTGAAGATGCAGGTTGGGCTGCAGAGAGAAGGCATACATATCAGCACTGCCCCATTTTGCAAAAGATACTGGTACGCTGAAACTACTACCATCCTGAAGGTTTAATCGTCCCCAAGAGCCCGTGTTGCCGTCCTGCTCCTTCCACTCTTTCAGAACCAAGAGAGTAGAGACCGTGTTTGGATGATCTCGGCCTAGTACATGCTGCTTGTAACGGCAGGGCTGGTCGGGTTGGTTACAGCCCGGCGACAGGTGCAAAGACAGCTTCATAGTGCAGCCAGTGGTTCAATTTGTCGGATTGGATCATGTGTACCCTTTTGCGGGAACATGGAGCAACGGTATGGCTGCACGTTGTGTGCCGTTACAATGCTCGTGATAGAAGCAAGTCTTCATCAAGTCTAGAGCGTCTCCAAGGCGGGCCCGACTTTTCCAGGTGAATACTCCATAAGAACCTTGAATACTTCCAGAAGAAACGGCAATTGAGCGAGAGACAGGTCCGCTGGGCGGAGATCCTCGCCCGGTACAACTTCACCTTGAGATATCGACCTGGCAAAGAAGCGGCAGTCCCAGACGCTCTCTCCAGAAGGGAGCAAGATATGCCCCAGGATGCCCAGGATGAGCGGTTTATGGGCCGTTGTTTCCAATTGCTGAAGGCCGCGCAAGGCAGGGCACTTCGCGTCGAGCGCGGTGCGGCCGTAGCGGTCCGAGCCAGTTTTGTCAAGAATGACGACCAGGACGGAGAAACGAACGACGTGGCAGATAAGTCAGACCCGCCAGAGAACCCATTTGCCGATGTCCCGTTGAGAGACCTCTGGGACCAGGGGCTGGAGGCAAACAACCGATACTGGCTCATCCGCAAGATGGTACTTGATGGCGAACGTCAGTTCCCAAGCCAGTGGGGGTTGCCAATCTCGATCTCAGAATGCTCTATCGACGAATGAAAGCGGAGGAAAGCGGCTGTGTTGGCGAGGCCGTATCTGGATTCCTTACTTTGAGCCTCTGCGCACCCGGATCATCCAGGAGACCCACGATTCGACTCTTGCTGGCCATCCAGGAAGGGGCCCCACCAAGCTCCTGATCTCTCGGAACTTTACGTGGATCGGCCTCAGTCAGGATGTCAGGCGGTTCGTCCGGAACTGTGATGTGTGTGGGCGAACAGCGGTATGGCGAGAGAAGAAGCGAGGCCTGTTGAAGCCCCTGCTTGTTCCAGGGAGAATTTGGATCGAGCTACAGCAACTACGCGATTCCGCCGGCGGACAGAAAACCCAGACTACTATGAAGCGCCGTCGAGAAGCTCTAAGCCAGCCGGCCGACAGTCCAGGCCGCTCAACACAGCGAGTCTACAAAAAGAGCGATGTTGCCCACCTGATATACCATTGACATTCCTAGCAACTTTGGACAGGTTGGATGCACCTGCGGTCAGGCGGATGCTCTCTGCATATGCGCCCTTCAAACTTCCCTTTCAGAACATATGCCTCGCACACCTTAAGGAGTTCACAGAGGCGGTCACAAACGAGGAGCTCTCACGAGATCTGCTGAACCCTGATACGGCTTCTGATACGATCGACCTTGATCGCAGCCCTTTCCTCCGACGGCGCCGTGCTTCACTTCCGGATCTCTCTGACGATAACCCCCTCAAACGGTTTCGGCTTGATGAGGTGGTTCATGGCTCTGTATCCCCTACGTCAAGACAAGAATGCCGCTCGGAGTACAGTCTGATTCGTGACGAAGCGTGCCGCCAACAGGTGCTCATAGGGTTGCAATCCATAGAGCACGCACCAGACTCCTGGGGTAGGCGAACAGACGAGCTCGTCTTCAACATTCTGCAAAAGAGCAAACCACCAACGGCCAAGGAAGCATATTTCCTCTATAGAGAAAAGGCGGCCCACAAGCTCGAGTCGGGCAAACTCGACGTACCTGTGTTCACACAAGGTGAGCAGCGGTTTTGGTGGAAAGGGGAGGACCGCCCAATTCGACAGCTCTTTCGCCATATGGAAGATGTCGGTCTCGATCGGACTGTATCTGTTCATATACCGTCTCGAACGCTGTCAGAGGGATCCTGTCAGCGCAAAACGCTTCGGGAAGTCCGAGACCGGTTCGGACCAAGGAGTGTATGCGTAAGTCACTCAGCCACGGTGTTCAAGTGCCAGCTTAGTACAACATTCGAGAATGCAATGTATGTAAAACAACGAGGAGGGACCGCTTGCTCTAACTGAGCGGGGCAGCTGCCCTTGCGGTGTAAGAATAATAATAATAATAACATTCGAGATAACGTTATCTCTAAGCGAGTTCTTTCTCAGGGGTAGTAAACAAACGTTACCTGGTTGGCCCGGAAAACCCAAAGGGGACCCGAATCACATATGCCTTTCTAGATGCGCTTCCTCAGGATAGTCCGTTATCCTCACTGACCACGACAAGAGCTGGCCCCGCCGGGTAGGATCGCCCAAAATCCCAAAACCAACACAAATCGCATCATCACTGCCCACACCGCAGGGCTTCTTCACGCGGATACGCTGGACGACGAAATTGCGAGGTGCGGCAAGCGCTTGAAGAAGAGCGACGCCGACGCGAAGAAGCCGAGAGCCGTGCGTCGCAGGAGCAACACCGACGCGAGGAGGAGCAACGCCGACGCGAAAAAGCAGAAGAGATCGCGGAAAATTCACAGCCACTACAACTGGAGCCTTATCTTGAGGCTTGTCGCACTCTCAGTCTTGCCATCAAGGTAGTCACCGACCGTTCCTTGACCACACAGGGCGACACCACCAATCCTGCCGGTCGGGTGTACCCCCGGCGAATCCATCCATGGGATGACTTTCCCGCAAGGCAGGAGGAAATCTGGAATCTACTGTTCGAGCCGTCCTTCGCCTCCCGATATACGTTCCCATCCCAGCACCAGCTGGACTATGTGCAGTCTCTCATTACACCCATCAGCAGCGAACACGGCCTCCGGTATTACGAGCGCGACACCGTGGAGAATGCGGTGCAAAAGCTGGTTGATGCGGTATACGAGAACCCGGTGCTTCGAGCCAGCATTGGCCTGCGTGGAACCGTGACGTTTGAGAGTCACACAAATCTCGGCACCGTCGATGGCAGTCTCTCCGTACCTCCGGAACCCGCGCCCATCTCCGGGAGTAGTGCAGGGGAAGCTGCGCTCGCACCGCCTGCAGCGGTCCGCAAACGCCGCCGTGTTGCGAAAGGAAAGGGCAAGGGCAATCGGGCGGACCAGTTCTGCATATACAGATCATTCCTGAGGTCTTCCAAGCGGGCATTTGTTGTGGAGATGATCCAACGGAACGTGCTCCCACGTCAATTCGGATCCGAGTCCAGCCGACAGAAAAGGGAAGCCTTCGTATTCGCTGGATGCGTTTGTAGGCAAACGGGTGGATTCAGGTCCGCAGTGACTCGGCTGCTGCCTGGTGCTTGCCGTTGCTAGAGGGTAAAGGAACCAAGCGATGTCTGGACCGAAAATTCGTGGTTCGCACCTATACCAAGGGACAGTGCCCAGCTAGCTCTTCATCGAGAATAGTGAAATGGTCGCTGTCCCCAATGAAGTTGGTTTGCCCAAGGTCGTTGTGAGATAGTCATCAATATCATGGCTGTTCTGCCTCGGGGTTGCTGCATCAGCGGTAGCCGTCGTTCCATCGGCCTGTCCGTTTGTTACAGCGTGCTGCTTAACCTATTAGCATTGTGAAATGGCCGGGCTGCTACCATGACAAACGGACATGAGACGCACCGGTGCTGCAGACGCACTTCACGGGTCAGAGATTAGGATCCCACCACGTCCTAAATCGAAAGGGTGCCATCAACGGTTCCCAGCTAGCCTCTGTGATGACGAACTGAACTATTGCAATACCTTCAAGTTCACCAACATGCCTGCCTTCCTACTTCACTCCGTTGAGATTCCTTGCACTTGAGGGCAGTTCTAAAAAGCATCCCTCACACTCAACACATCTGCAGCCTCCTCGGCATCGAGTAGACCAATGTAAGGAAAACTCCTCTAGTATAACATCCTACTTAAACATCGGTTTCGGAGACGCAAGACTCAGTAGATAGTCAAAAACTGGCTGGATGCAGGTGATATTTCAAGCGGGTCGCAAAGAGGAGACGAAGGGCAGAGCAAGCTGCGTTCGACCACCACAGACCAGCTCGCAGAACCATTCGGCTCCAGGAGTTTGAATAGACCCGATGCATTTTAGAGCGGCTGTTTGCTTCCGGCTTTAATGTTCTTCCGAGTCCCAGATGCGGTCTGCCATAGCAAACGGTGGCAGTGACTGAAATCTTGTTTTCTGCACAATGTGTGTGGTGGCCTGGAGCAACTCGAACCTGGCCTCGATGTCATCATCATCGCAGCTAGTCTCAAGTTGCTTCAATTCTCGAGAAAAGTTGTCAATTCGTCGTTACCATGGCCGGTACGTCCGACCACAGCGAGGCGTCCGACTCCCTCCAGCACACTGAACTGGTCACCGAAGCCCTGGTTCGGCTCCAAGTTGGCGAACGCCATTTCACCACCATGAGAGACACCCTGACCGAGGAGAGCGCCTTCTTTGCGGCCCTTCTATCCGGCCGATGGGACAATGCCCTCGACGATGGCTCTTATTTCATCGACGCCGACCCTGCCCTCTTCGAGCACATCCTGCGTTACCTCCGCCGGGGCATCTTTCCCTTGTTCTTCGACGTCGTCAAGGGCCACGACTACCACCTCTACGTCTCCCTCCTGGAAGAGGCCCGATATTTCCAAATTACCCGGCTTGAGAACTGGCTCGAGCGGAAGCGATATTTGGACGCAGTGCAGGTGGCACACACCGCCGACCAATACCATGACGACTACTCTTCTTGGGCCTACTTGAAAGTACCCTCAGGCGTGACGGTGGAGCATTACCCACAATGGGCCATCAGAAAGGTGTACATCTGCCCGAGGGGTATACCTGGGCACAGAGGCAGCCCAATGTCTTGTGGGCGCCGTTGTGCCGCTGCTCAGGGTGACAATGATGATATTTATGAGGAGGAACCGTATCTGAAGATGTTGGTGCTAAAGAAAACAGTGACTTTCAGACCTGAAGTTTGCGTGGCTCGAGATATTTAACACGCCCGGGGGGCGGCGTTGTTGGGCCAGTCCAGACAGATTCTTCGGGAAAGGGGCAGTTGCAAGTCGACATGCTGGAACGTACATTTGGCTCACTTATTGCAGATTCTGATGCCGCGCCCCATTGTCTCAGTGGCAGAACCCGGGCGAAAAATTGACTTCTTTTTCTACCCTGGCCAAGCACACAAAAGGTCCTGTATGGGGGCTCAGCATCAAGCAGGAAAACAACCCTGAACTGTACAGTACGCGGACGTGCTTGTTAGGTAGGTATGGTTTATTACTTTGTTATGCTCCTTCAGTCCATCCAAGCTGCGTATTAAGCCGAGCTTCGATTGAACATTTGCTGCCCAACAGCCCAATCAATACCGAGAGGGTCGCAGAATGACTCCTTCTCAGATTGTTGGCGACGACCACATACAAATCACTGCACCATATCGATTGCTCTGCAACTAGAACAAATCCACCGCCCCAGTCGCCAGCCGTACCGTTATCAACAACCTTCAGCAGCTAAAGGGGGACCTGCCAGTTGAGGTTGTGTGATGTTACCTTACCTTACCTACAGATAGGCTCTTCCACTGCGGTGGCTCAGTGCTTGCTTATTGTCCCAGTCCAATGTCTCTGTTCAAGCTCCACAGCTCTCGCCATGTCGCAGCAATTGAGACGAAATGAGTGAACGTTTCCAGCAGCAGCAGCCACTGACGGATTTGAGCAACCGCCGGAGGAAGAGAAAGCCCGGAGTCATCAGTTTGTTATGAGGCCCTACCGCAGATGAAAACAAACGGCCGGTCTGGTCTGCCTTGTGCACGCGTTCCTTTCTTCTTCGCACTGTTTCCGTTTTGCCAAATTCCTCCATATCCTTCAAATTTTACACCGGAAACACGCTCTCCTCCCACCACAGTCCAACCTTGACTTCTCTCCCCGGCCTTGCCGTGTCATCATACCTATCGACGACCTGTTCAGACATCCAACATGGCCCAGTTTGGCCAGTGGCAGGCCTCACTGCACCCAATCCGCGTCGACGTCGTTGGCGACTTTGCCGGCAGAGGCGTGTTCGCCATCCACGGAGAGGCACTTCTCACCTACTGTCTGGAGAGTTCCCGCGTTGACTTTGACTGTGCGTCTCTCCGTTCCGATTTGTCGTCGTTCTGCTGACAGCTTCCACTCCCTGGTTCATTAGACGGCTTTCAGCTCCTGCACGCCATCCATGCCGTTGAGACCTTTCTCGTAAAGCTGAAGGAGCGGAGATGCATCTTCAACCTCCTCTGGTTTGGGAAAGAGGCCGACGTGTGCATTCCTGGCAACATTCGGATCGACAGCGCCAAAACCAGCAAATACCGTCTTGCACGTGCTGTGCTCATCCAGCATTTCGCTGGCCCGACCGTTTCCGGGGGCGAGCCCAGTCCAGCTGGGTTCAGCTATGTGTTTCTGTCCAAGAAGATGTGGGCTTGAGGATGCAGGCTTCGGAGCTTCGCAGCGTGTGTAACATCTGCATTGGTAACTGTATCTTATTTGTAAATGTGTATTGTGGTAGCTTGCAAAAGCACCTGGCCGGTGATAATCAAACGTCGGTGTCTCTCCCTCACGCTTGGGTAAGGGGAAAAGTACTACTGTCTGGTGGATGCAGGTCGGCTGCCCGCTCCTGAGCCAAAAGTTCTGTTGACGCCAAGCCCATAACCTAACAGGGGTGGCGGGATCAACAGTCATGCGACAACTTGCTGTCGCACACCACCTTCACCGACGCCAATAGTTCTTATGCGTAAAACTATAACTACAGTACTGCAACGCCCTTCCTGGCATGGGACGCAAGACCCACACTCTGTGGCGCACTCCGCACGAAAGAGGCCATGGCGGTCAGTCTTTCCGCCTGTGGCGTACTACCGGGGAGTACGCCACAGTAGGTGGAGCAGCACCGCCTCAAAAGTAAGCCACCATATGTGATTCGTATAAGTAGCCGATGCTTGCTGTCGCCAATCCTTCGCCATTCGTGGACAGCGGTCATTGGTGGACACTGTGTGGAGCTACGCCTCCTCCTCTTGCTCCTCCTCCTCCTCCTGCTCCTCCTCCTCCTGCTGCTCCTCCTCGTCGTCCTGCTCCTCCTCCTCCTCCTGCTCCTCCTCCTCCCCCCAACACCTCGCGAATCACATTACCACTAGTGGTCTTTGCAGTAACTGACCGCGTCGCCGTGTTTTTATACGCGTCTTCGGCCAGGAGTGTTCCCTCTATAAAAGAAAGCGCTCTGCCAAAGGATCTTATTTGCCTTCGGTTTCTGCGTCCTGTACGGTTCCGCCCACGCCTTTTACAGCTATTCAGCGATACGTCACAAGATTGCATTGTTTTCTCCCGCGTTGCCATAAACAACGAAACCTTCCACTGACTGCCCTCACGAGCCCTTGACTGTCCTTTATCGAAACACGCGATGTCTGACCCGATATTACCGCGATCGCCCTTCGGTCGAAACATTATCGGCACGCAAGCGGAAGGGCCGGCGGCCACAGAACCGGAGGCTGACCAGCACTGCAATCCGTCATCGATCTGCCTGCCTTTCTGTGCTCCGTGAGTTGAATACCCACTTATACTTCAAGGGCAGGCGGTGTTCTAAAGACATAAACTACTCTACGCGCTACCTTCTCTCTGCAACAGAATATAAAAGGAGACGGCCGAGCATTCCCAAGCGCTATAAGACTCGAGCCAACTGCCCCGGACGTCTTGCCGGCCACGAAATCATAAGCACCGCCGATTGCGTCCAGTCGTGGGCGACTGTCGTACTGGGTACGAATGAGCTGAGAAGGTTGGCGCACTGCATATGCAGAAAGAGCAAAAAAAAAACAGGGGCAGTCAGGTAGGTCAGTGGCATCATTCCCTCGAGGAATTAGTCACTCTGCAGCTCTCGCCTTAAGAAAGGCGATGGTCTCCTCCTTGCTCGGCGGTTTCCGCTTCAGGTCGACGCAATCCCCGGCGAGAATGGCTTCGTGCCTCGCGGAAAACATCTTGAATCACTAACCATAACCATAAGAGCTGATAGCACATATGGCTGCGTTCCCGACGGCTCGAGTGATTTTCAGCAAAATGCCGGTCCTGCCTCGATGGATGCAGGGTTCCCTTTATTTGACGTTGGTTCATTAGCGCCGGCCGGCAATTGGGTCAGCAACCAATTCCTCCAAGACATTGAGCTTTCCTTGGCCTATGGCTACGCTTCTCCTTCAGCTCCCGCTCCTTTGGGTGGGACTGGGTCTGAGCCCGACGAACGCGCGGCAGTTTGTACAGATTCTAGCACGGTCGGCCACGAGTACCCTGGTGGTGTTAAGATCTCTCAGTCGGTTCCTATGCCCTTGTCTTAGAGACCTAAGCAATATGCTGATATACCTATAGTGCGATTATGGTTGAGTGCGCGGAAACCTGCTACTTCTGGTGCGAAGATGACGTACCCTTTGCGAAGAAGACGACCTATCAATGTGTGGTATGCAAGACGCCTATCAGGGACAGCAGGTATAATCTCAAACGCCATTGCCAGACAGCATGGGAGGGCCTCGACGAAGCTGAGAAAATCAGAATCTTGAGTACGTGTCAGCGCAGGTGTTGTGGCGGCTGTCAGCGCAAGTGGGAGCTCATGTGGCAGGGCATGCAGGAGGGCTCGTTTCAGGACAGAGTGGCCGCATGTGGGAGGGAAGCTTCGGACGAGCGGTTATAGTCCTGACGGGAATACTTATGCGCGAAGGAAGGGTGCTTAGTGGGATTGCTAGGCGGGAAGAACAAGCATATCGAGTGCTCTGCTCTGTGAGATCAGAGACTGCAACGGCGATGGGCATTCTGGAGGTTTCATTTACACCGTAGTACACTAGCGCGAGGAGTGTTGAATCCTTTTGCGTAAAGCGGGAACAAGCGGCTGTGATGCGGCGTCGATCGGCTAGACGGGTGTGGTTTCGTTTAGTGGGGAGTCTTGGGGGTCGCGGGTCGGGCGGTGCCGTGACGGTGGAGTGGGGTCCGGGAATGTCAAACGAGAGGGGGTGGAAAGCACGGCCGGACGGGGCTCTGAAGCCGGGAAACTCGCTGGCACCGCCCACTCCAAGGGTATTCACAGATCAGTGATTGCGCACGAGCAGTGGAGAGCTTAACACGTGCTGAGCCAGCGGAAGCGAAGCATGCACCCGACTGCATCAGGTTTCCTAAGCCCTATCGCCTTAGCAAGAGGTCGGGCATCAAAGTCCAGATTTGACGGCAACTGTCGATGGAAGACCAGATGTTTGGACGCTGTGCACCGGCGGGAACCCCGTTGGTTGGGCGGCAGGCCAGAGTTGTCAGGGGGGTGGGCCAAGGCAGGTGCGGAAGGCGCGGATTTCGGCCATGGGGTGGGCTCCGTGGCGTTGGTGGGGCCGTAGCGGGTTAGGGATGAAGTGCCAAGCAGTCTCTCTGACAAGCTTGCCGCGAACACCAGTCGGCAACTCAGTGAGCGAGCGAGGCGTGCTCCCCGGGAGTCGTCACAGCAACGACGAGGATGACACTGCTAGTACGGTTTGCTGTGTTGTATGCACAATCAAGATAACGGTCAATTGAATCCTATGCTATCTACCCGCCAACACCTCACGGCCCTTCCAGGCCTTATCCTTTCCTCCTCTTCGGCTCACTAAATGAGGTACCCGGAGTGACCGCTTGCTGCTCGGCATTGCTCGATTGGCTGCCCCGCTCGTCAGGCATAGAAGCGCAGCTGCCATCTGACTGCATTAAGTTTCCCAAATCCTGGGAAAGCCCAGTCGCCTCAGACAATGGTGGGACATCAAAGTCCAAATCCGACGGCAACTGATCGATGGCAGAGCAGATGTTTTTGAAGTGAGCGGGCATCCATGTGTCGTAGACATTTTTCGTGAATCGATATGCTGTCCATTTGTCCCTTCCGTCGAGCGCGGTGAAGGAAAAGTCATGGATCGGGTGCCGGTAGTACTTGACGTCTTTCCCACTTATCACCGGGTAGTGGCCGTAGATCCGTACCGACCGGTGGTCATGCGAGACAGAGAAGGCGAGGATCTTCCGGTTGACCTCATGCTCGCGCTTGACAGCACGGAAGAGTTCGACGATGCCCCGTACCGCAAGGGTCATGCTGTGGGCGTTCTGCCGGTCTGCAATGTCGAGCGCCGCGGCCCCGCATTTCACCTCGCAAGTCAGGAACGGGAAGTACATGTAGTACGTCGCCATGAAGAAGGACTGGTCTCCGACGATGAAGTCGCCAATGAATGGCGACAGCTTGGCGAGCTGGTCCTCGGTGAACGCATCTCGCCTAAAGCCAACAGAGTAGTCAGGCTGGGGACGAGGGTTGGTGAGAGGTATCGAGTTGTTCCACCCCTCGTTGACACTCTCGATCAGGTGTTTATACTTTTTATCGCAGAGTGCAAGCGATTCCGCCGAGGGAACGATAAGTCTAGAAATGTCCTGAATAATCCTCGCCTCGTTTTTGGTCTCGAGGTTGCAGCAAGCTTCCACAAAGATATCGTCGTCGAAGAGCGTCTCCTTGGGAACGGACTGTTCACCACTGAGGAGGTCTCGGATAAGCTGCTTGCTGGTATCCGTAACGCCAAGCTCAGAGATGCCCATGTACGAGCCCTTAGTTTGAAGCAGGAGCGGGTACCGCGGGTTTCGATACGGCGCATTCTTCTCCTCCCTCAGCCTCTGATCGCTGGGCGTCGTATCCTGGCTTGCCGTTGTGGAACTGTCGGATCCAGACCGCTTGCGGCTGACAGATGTCGTTTTCTTCTTCGCAAAAAGTAGTTTTACGGTCGGATCGTACCGTTCCATTTCCTTAAGCCAGCTGTCTTCAGACTGTCGCTCGAAATCCTTCCTAGTCGAGTCATCCGGTTCAAAATATTTATTGGGCCAAGACCCTTCCCTTCTCCAGAAATCGATTATGTTTCGCCAATCCTCGGTGTCGTCACCCGCCTCTTGGATAGACTGTCCAAGGGATGTTCGCCGGCGTTTCTTAAGGGACCCGTCTGGAGCCTGATCGAGTGTATCTTGAATTGCATGTGATAGCTTCTCGCCTTCGCCTTCAACGGATGCTGCTAGATTCTACAACAATGTTAGCAAGAGGTCTCAGGAAGGAAAAGCTCGCCTGACCTCTCGGGATGAGTGGAAGTCGGCGTGATCCGATATGGCTCGCTCTTGTGACGCGTGCTCCAACGCCTTCGCTCTCCGGACCCGTTTCGCTCGGGGCAGATTGCTCTCCGCGGGGCCGTCAATCCCACGCTTCCTTGAAAGGAGCTCGTCAATTGTGTTCCCTGCAGGGCGTGTTGGGGATGTCTGTTGTCGCTTCGGTCCACGGCGTTCTCGGTCCGCACCGGGTTCGACTGCGATTTCGATCGGTTGCTTGCGCTTGCGGCCTCTGCTCTGTAGCGCGGGTGGATTCTGTTGATCCTCCTTAGCTTGTAAACCACTACAATGTAAAGGATAGAAGGCATACCTGTTGAGACGACGTCTCACTGATCGTGGTTGCGCCTTTGCGCGACTGGATGGCTTGGGGTCGTGTTCCTGCCACTGTTAGCGGAACGTGTCGTTCGGCGCTGCGAAAGATGAGTACCTTGGCCCTTTGACGCCGGTGATACGAGCCCTTCCTGGGCGACTGCTTGGGCTCGAGTACGGGCCATGGCGATGGAGGACGGAGGGGAAGCCGACGCTTTTGGATTCATTGCGATTTTTTAAGGGAGTCTCGAGATGCTGTGACGTGTGCGAGCGTCGAGTGTGGAGCGTTGAGACCCCTGCCAACTCTCGCGGCAGCGTTCAGCCAATCATTATGCGCCTCAATCACCCAGCGCCGCAGACCCGCAATCCTGGCACGCAGTGCTGATAGGGCGGGTCGCGATGCGGCCGTCAATGAGAGTTGCAGGACCTTGGCACCTCGTGACTCAAAGGTTTTCCGATTTTGCACTAGCGTAAGCCCTCCTCTCTTCTGGACTTACCTGATTTAGTAGCTCGCATTTCAGAAGGGTTGCATATGCATGCAGCCTACACCCCCTCCAGAATCTTGATTCCAAGCGCGTCGGGGCGCCGCTGTTTACATATATGGGCCCCATATCCGTACTTTTTTTGGTAAATGCAAAACGGACCCCACAAACCCCGCTAGGATTCAGAATCCTGAAATAGGTGCCTCCCAGGATAAATAATCCTAGCGCGTGACTTTGCTTGCCCTAAGCCAAAAACAGCAAAAGATCTGCGCAAGTGCCAGTACAGTCGAAACCACACAATTTTTAATGCAAATGAAGTATCAGTATGGGATACTCATCCCCTAGCTTGGAAGAAAATCCGGACAACAGCGCGATTCGTCTCCCCGCTTCAGAAGATCGCTCGTGCGGCAGAAGGAATAAAAACCGAACAGATGGAAACAATCCAGGAATACGCCGTCGCTCCCTGGGCACCTCGCCTGCAGCCGACGATCGAAGCTGACCGAGGGAAGGCGACCGAGATGGCCAACGGAGTCATGGGCATCGTGATTGCAACCAGCTCGTCCGTGAAGAAAGGCATTGTCGGTGTTGGTGGCATCGCACGAGACACTCTCTTCAACAGGACCAGCGAGACTGTGACAAGATTCGCTATAACCCTTGGCACGAGGGAGGAGCAGAACCCATATACAGCAGAACTAGCAGCCATCGCAATAGCCCTGGAGAAGATTCCGGCCAACGCCTGCCATAGGCACATCACCATCGTTACCAGAAACCAGTCAGCGCTAGCAGCAATTAAGCAACCGCGAGAACAGTCCGGCCAAGGCACCATACGACAGATCTACGAGTTGGCTAGACTGCACCAAGAAAGAGGGAACTCAGTCAACTTCTTGTGGATCCCAGCGGAAGCCAACTTTGCGTTGGGCTTAAAGGCCAAGGCGGCAGCGCAAAGGACAACGAGGCAAAGACAGATACCCAACCTCCAAATGCCCAAGCCAAGTCCACCGCAATTAGGCTGGCATTGGCCAAACAACGACAGGGGAGAGTTTCCCCAAAGGCGTAGGCAAATTCTCAAAGGCTCTGGACGTGGCACTTCCTGGCAAGCACACTCGCGATCTCTACGACAAGCTGAAACGAAAAGAGGCCTTTATCTTGGCACAACTCCGAACCGGAATGGCAAGGCTGAACGGCTTTCTAAGCAGAATCGGAGCGGTCGAGTCAGACCTTTGTCCCTGCGGCCGAGCGAGGGAAACAGTGGAACATTTTTTTGTTGCGATGCGTGAGATGGGAAGCTCTGAGGGAAGCCATGTTGCAATGCACAGTGGCGAGGCGAGGAAGCCTCTCATTCTACCTGGGAGGGAAAGCGCCATCGGATCCAAAGATGTGGTCGCCAGACATGAAAGCAGTCCGGGCAACGATCAAGTACGCAATGGCGACAGGGAGATTGGATCTTGACGAGGAACGACGAAGATTGGATCAATCACAGTAGGCAGAGTACGGAAGTAGTAACTTTACTAACACTACACAGCCTCAACCAGCAGATCCTGCTTTAGATGCTGAAGATAGGACGCTGAACACTTGGAGAACGCAGCCTCCAAGTCGATCTGCTAAACTAAGTCAAGAGGCAACAGGTGGCGTGAGAAAAGGGGAGAGAGTAGAGGGTTGGATGGATGGATGGATTTGATTTCGCCCGGAGGCACTAAGCCTAAAGGGCCTTGGCACGCTAAATACATACGATTCGTCCGCTTCTTCCATGACCTCGCACAAGCCCTTTGAGTTGCCCTTTGCGCAAAGCTTCCCAATACCTTTTGCCTCTTGTCTTGATTGTTAGCAGATCGTCTTGGAGGTTACGTTCTCCAAGTGTTCAGCGTCCCATCTTCAGCAGCTAAAGCGGGATCTGCTGGTTGAGGCTGTGTGCTGTTAGTGAGCTCCACTATTGCGACTGATACAGTCTCCGTTGTTCCTCGTCTGCATCCAATCTCCCCGTCGCCATTGCGTACTTGATCGTTGCCCGGACTGCTTTCATGTCTGGCGACCACATCTTTGGATCCGATGGCGCTTTCCCTCCAAGGTAGAATGAGAGGCTCCCTCGTCTTGTCACTGTACATCGCAGCATGTCTTCCCTCAGGGCTGTCCATCTCACGCATCGCAGCAGAAAATGCTCCACTGTTTCCCTCGCTTGGCCGCAGGGGCAGAGGTCCGACTCGACCGCTCTCAATCCTGCTCAGAAAGCCGTTCAGCCTCGCCATTCCGGTTCGGAGTTGTGCCAAGATACAGGCCTCTCTTCGCTTCAGCTTATCATAGAGGTCGCGAGTGTGCTTGCCAGGTAGTGCCACGTCCATAGCCTTTGAGAACTTGCCCACGCCTTCAGGAAGAGCTCTCTCCTGTCGCTGTTTCGCCAGTGCCAGCCTGATTGCGGTGGACTTGGCCTGGGGCATTTGGAGGTTGGGTGTGCCTCCTTGCCTTGCAGCCCTTTGCGCCGCCGCCTTGGCCTCCAGTACCAACGCGAAGTTGGCTTCCGCTGGTATCCACAGGAAGTCAACCGAGTTCCCTCTCCGTCGATGCAGCCTTGCCAACTCGTATATTTGCCGTATGATGCTTTGGCCGGACTGTTGTCGTGGTTGTCTGATCGCTGCCAGCGCCGACTGGTTCCTGGTAACGATGGTGATGTGCCTGTGGCAAACGCCGGCCGGCAGGCTCTCTAAGGCCCTCGCGATCGCTGCTAACGCTGCTGTATATGGATTCTGTTCCTCCCTTGTCCCGAGCGTCACAAAATAGTTTGCCACGGTCTCGTTGGCCATGCTGAAGAGGGTGTCCCGCCCGATGCCACCCATGCCAATCATGCCTTTCTTTTCAGACGAGCTGATTGCGATCACAATCCCCAATGCTTTGTTGGCCAAATCGGCCGCCTTCCCTCGGTCGGCTTCGAGCATCGGTCGCAGGCGAGGTTCCCAAGGTGGGAGGGCGTATTCGTGAATCGTTTCCATACAATCGACTCGTGCTCCTTCTGCCACACGAGCGATTTTCTGCAACGGGGATGGGAATCGCACGGTCGTCCGGAATTTCTTTAGGGCGAGGGGATGCGTTCCGGGCAGTGTATGGATGTTGATCCATAACCTGACTGCCGCCTGAGCGTGTCGTTCTCGGATAGGATGGATGCTCGCTTCGGCTTCTGCCACGGCCACTGCCACGGTTCGGAAGGCTCCTGTGATGGCTAGGGCCCCGATCTTCTGCGCCCTGTTCAGCCAGCTCAGTGCCCTTTCCCCGCAAGCATGCATCCAGACACTGGCAGCGTAGTCCATGACGGGAGCCACTGTCGCTACAAACAGTTGTCTTGCTGTTCGCGGGGAAAGCATCTTCAACCTCCTCAGGGCCAGAACGGCTGTGAGACCCTTGGTTGCCGTCTTGGCAATGTGCTTCTTGTAGCGGAGTTCGCAGTCCATTGTTACCCCCAGGATCTTTGCGCTCTTCTTTGGTTTGATCGTGTCCCCTCTGACTATGAACGGCGTTTCGGAGGATCGCTCCTTGTTCCTTGTGAAGTGTACGATGGCCGTCTTTTCGCTCTCGAACTGGGCGCCGCTTCGTCTTTCCCAATCCAGGGCTCTGTCTATGATGGCTTGGATGCCTGAGCGGTTCGCCTCTGCTGTTGGGCCTACAACCCAGGCCGTATAGTCGTCAACAAAAGCGATTGAGCCTCCGTTCGCGTTGATTTTGTGCTGTACCAGGTCTGCATTGAAGAAGAGGAACAATATCGGGGACAGCGGTGATCCTTGTGGCAAACCCGCTAGGGGCAACTCTTGCCGTTCCGACGTGAACCCGTTCACCACGATGGTTGCTGTACGCCGAGAGCAAATGGCATCAATCCACCTAACCAGAGCCTCTGGTATACCTCTTGCCCTGAGCCTCTGGAGCAGCCTGTCCTTGAAGACTCCGTTGTAAGCACCCTTTACATCGAAGCTGATCAGGCTTAACACTTTTCTAGCTTGCGCCCTCGCGGAACCGGAGGATACAGGCGACCAATCTTTCCACTCGACATGTTCTGAGACTCGCGGCCGGAAAAGAAAGCTTAGCAAACAAGATCTAGCCAAATTGAGAGGTTTCTCGAGAATAACGGCTTCGACGGGCGGACTGTGCCATAGGATGGCTTGCCTGCAGCCGCCGGCCTCGACATCGACGTCTCTGGGCGAACAGTACGCCGTGCAGTTCAGTCGATGGACTTCCGGATGTGTATCGCATGTTCCAAGCGATATACTTCGCCGAGATTGAAGGAGACGCGAGTGGAGTACCGCCGAGTTATGCTGGAAAAATACCCCGATGCAAAAGACTGGAGGCACATCAAATTCTCCGACGCATGCCACTTTGGCTGGGGTCCTCAGGGTCGAGTCCACGTCATACGACGAGCGTGGGAGCGTCATTGCCCAGACTGCATGCCGGCCGAGAAGGATCAGAAGCGATTACATTGCTGGGCGGCAGTTGGATACGACTTCAAGTCACAGCTTGTGTGGTATGATATACCTGGCAACTCCAACGGCAAGATGACCATGCAGGTCTATAGAGACCACATCCTCGAGCCTGTGGTTGGTGGTTGGCTTCGCGAAGGCCAGTCGTTTGTTCTCGAGGAGGATAATGACTCTAGCCACGGTACAAGCAAGAGCAATATCGTACGCGCTTGGAAGGAACAGAGCAGCTTGGAGTCTTTCTTCAACTGCGCTCAGTCCCCTGATTTTTCTCCCATTGAAAAGGCATGGCAGGGGCCGAAGCAGTATGTAAAGAAGAGGCCATGCTTGGGACGATGAAATCGTGAAGGAGCTAGCCGAAGAAGGCTGGGCGTGAAGAAACATCGCAACATCTGGAAGAAACGTCCTTCGCGATCTGTTCTTTCATTTCCAAGGGGTTGCAGGTTAAAGACTAGACTGGGAATTGAGTTCGATGCCAGTTGGTGCAGAAAGTTCTGCGACCCACAGCCGGTTGGGGGCCGGCCAGCCCGGATGGCTAGGCGAACCACGCCTCCCGTGCCGGGCCGTCCACCGAGCCCAACGTCGAGAAGTGGGAGAATATGGGCAATGGGTAGCCATTTCATCCAACCCGCTACATCGCAAGCTAAAGAAGCAGATCGTGAAGTTACGCGTCTGTGCATGGAAGGTGCTGTGACATGAGTCTCCCTGAAATCGGCAACACTACTCAAAGGGAGCAGCCGGTTGTGTCATGTCCGGCCCTAATCCCGCAGGAAACCCCCCTGCCATTCTATATCTGATTAGTGCCGGTGCAACGCTGAGCAAGGGAGACTCCCTTGCCTTAGCTTTTAGCTGCGCATCCGCCTCCCGCTGGCCGCTGCCGGTTTTCTCCGCGTCCTTCTAACACTCCGCCACTTGGGAGACATCATAGGTGGAGAAACCAGCGCTCCCAATAATCTGTTCAATCCAACCCAGGCCTTATAAATTGGATTGTGTCACGGCGCTGGACCGTCGATCCCTAGGTCACGTGGCACATTGCACTTAGCTTCACGTCTATCCATCCATAGCTTCCTTTCCTTGTACGAATTGATGGTTGAACGTCAACGAATTGTATGTAGTTAGCGTGCAAAGGCCCTCTAGGCTTCGTACCTCCGGGCGAAATAAATTCCATCCATCCATCCATCCATAGCTTCCTTTCCTCTTCATAGAGCAACGCAGTTATCTTCCCTGACCTACTATGGTCCTGTGACAGTGTGTGTGTGTGTGTGTGTGTACTGTATGAAGTTAGCTCTTCTTTTCTTAGATCTCGGCAGTCTGCATGTGAAACCTTGAGCATACTAATATTATTGTCTAGATTTTATATTTAAGAATAAGGTTTCTTGTATGCGAGTGCCCTATATAAGCGAGTGACCCATTTTAACAGAATTTGGTTGGCTGCACGCAAAAAGCAGCTAAGAACTGGTGTTAGTGTGTCACGGCTTAATACGTATTTAGAACATGGTTTCTAATCTAGAAATAAAGTTGAAGAGATGATGAATTTACACGTAGCTATATAATGAATACCATTAGACGTCTACAGTCCATTTGCCTCTGTGATCGTTTCAGTCGACTTAAACATGCCTCGACCTTCTTCGTTCGCATCCTTTGCTACATTAGCGGGGCTACTAACAGCCGTGAAATCCGGATGGGAGCTCTCCCACATGATTAGGAGAAAACTAGACGAACGAACCATCCGGAAAGAAGCCGATCAGCTTCTTAGCAGATTAAGAAGAGCATACAATGATGGCGAAATTAGCAGGGCAGAGTATTATAGTTGGAGAAGAAGGATCTTAATTGCAACTCAGCAAAACAATTGTAGGTTAACTTGCTAACCAAGTTCATTCAGAGGTTAACTTGTCGCCATAGTAGCTGCAATTCGGAGTATGGAGTCATTATTGCGTTGGCATTGAGGTTGTAATTTGGAATACTTGACCCGATGTACATTAAAGTTAGAGGATAGGAACATAATATATTTGCTGGTAAAAATCGAGGACTGAGTTCTGTTTTAGTATAACGTACTTGCATAACGAGTGGCGCAGCATAACGAGTGGCGCACTTTCTTCCTCCAACAACCACATAACTTCATCACGAAATTTCTTCCACAACACAACATGGAATCTCTTCCAAAAGAAAGTCGTATTATCCTTGCGCTCGAAGCTCTTAAAAATGACCCTAATCTTTCCGTACGAAAAGCTGCTACAATCTACGAGATCCCCGAAACCTCGCTCCGTCACCGACGCGCCGGAAAGCAACCACGACGCGAATTACCTGCCAACCTTCGGAAATTGACCGACTTGGAAGAAAAAGTCCTTCTTGAGAGGGTACTCGACCTTGATGCGCGAGGATTCCAGCCCCGGCTCTCCGACATTCGAGAAATGGCTAATCGCCTTCGTACGGATCGCGACGCGTCAGAGGTTGGAATTCGATGGGCGAACGGGTTTGTTAAACGACATCCCGAGCTTACGACGCGTTTCCGACGCCGAGTCG